TTTTGTGTTTAAACTCATTGAAACGTGTTCATTTGCCAAAGTGACCCTCCGCAAAGTTGTAGAAATTTGAATTATCTATCATGTGGTTTTTGAATTTCATTGAAAGCATGCTTGTAGCTCCAGTTAGAGAGCAATTACTGAGGGCTGGTCAAGTGCATTACCCCAGTTCTGGACTGTGACTCAAATTTTGAATGATTGCTGTTTTATCACCAATTAAATGACCTTATTTGCTTTCAGTGCCTTCATACGAATTTTAGATTCCTATCTTATGATTCTAATGCAACTTGATTCATGTTCATATGAGTTATGTCCTGAAAGTTGTGTCGGTTTTAAAAACGCTGCCGAGTTAAGTTTTCAAAAACTTACGTGATATTTTCGGAAGTGTGATTACCTTGATTTAATGCATGCTTAAATGCTTACATGAACTTAGTTGGACTAAGTAATTGTGGAATAGTCTTTGATAAGGATATTTTATTAAATGTAGGTGCTTGACGAGTCGAACTCGCCGCCTACACGCATTTTGGGATTTGTCTCGATTCCGACCAGGTGGGTTGTTATTCTAAAATTACCTGTGCAATGTGTGTTAAATATGTTTATGGTTTTGGCGTGATCTATGTATGAACGTGAATATGTAGTCTATCGATGTGAGCTATTATGATGGTCATCGGTACGGTTGTCCCCGTCGATGTAATACGGTTGCCCGTGCGAGGCAAGTCTCCTTAAGACCTATTATGAAAGGCCGTGTCCTTGCGTGGCACGTACTCTCACCGTTAGGGTAATGAATCCCCTTTCCGCGACTATTACGAAAGATGTGTACACAGGAGTATTTATGTTTATGTTGGAGATGTGACATATGTGATATTATTTATGTTCATGCTGCGACCATGCCTATTTAACATGTTACCAAATGTGCATTGCATAGTGTGAGTACGATATTTAACTGTACTCACTCCCACCTGCTCGTAACTTATGTAGGTTAAGCAGTGGCGCGTGACGAGTAAAAGCGAGTGGTGGTCACACTTAGTTATTATGTTTATTTAATTGCTTCCGCTTTTCACGTACTTATGTTGGTATTGAACTTACGTTGATTTGGAGTTGGAACTTGTTTATTTCGAAAACATTTGGATTTGGTTCATGTTGAAAAATCTTTCTTGATATATGATTGAGTTCATCCTGATGTTTATGTTTACGTTATGTGGTTAATGAAAACCGTTGGGAAAATCGGGTAATGAATTTCCGTAGTTCAGTTATGACTTGAACTGTGTTTTTGAAAAGAATGAGTAACGCCAAAAGTTTATGATTCGAAAAATAAGTTTCAAAAATTTTTACCTTGATTTTTGGAAAAGCCATGGATTTTCTTTAAAAATCGATTGGGGCGTTACAGTAAACTCCCCTATTAAATCTTCTAAAATAATGGGATACCTAAATATACTTAATTTTTGTTACATTGGATACATAATTATTGAATTTCCATATATTATGCATTATAAATTATAGTAAATGCTTAGATTTAGCATCAACTTTTATATAGTAGGATAATTTAAAATATAATTACAGTTTACGTTTGAAAAATTAATGATTAATTTTGTAATGTTCCAATTTCCATAAGTTATATTCTACAATTAATTAGCTTCAATTTGGTAACATTCCGATTACATTACTTATATTCTGCGATTAATGAAGATAATTTAATTTACCCATAATTTGCAAACAAAATGACAAAATAATTAAACTTATAGTATTAATTTATCTCAATTGCACTATAACAAAAATACATAGTCAAAACATGAACATGTTCAAACATGCAAATTCCCCTAGTAAAAAACATTACGACGAAATGAATATGTTTCTTAACATGTTGATTTTGTACGTATATATGTTTCTTAACAAGATGAATATGTTTCATTGTAAAATGAACATGTCAACTTATAAGATGAACATGTTATGTTATAGGATGAATATGTTTTATTATCTGCTGAATATGTTAAATTATACGATGAACATGTTATTTTCTCAGAAGAAAATGTTTATTAACACGATGAATATGTTCGATTTTGTACAAGATGAATAAGTTGTTTTTGTACGAAATATGTTTTTTAACAAGATGAATATGTTTCATTGTACATTTAACATGTCAAATTATAAGATGAAGATGTTATGTTATAAGATGAAATACACGCGCGGGTCAAGGCTAATAAGAGTGGAATCCACTTGTATTTGCTAACTGAAGTACACGCTCCTATTTTTCAAATTAATTACAAACCTGCAACTTCCATTATCGCGCCTCTATTACCCAAACCGGTGAAGAAAAATTTGAATTGTAACTGGCGAAGCAAAAATTAATTACGATCCGACGAAGCAAAATTAATTACATACCGGCGAAGCAAACTGTAATTGGGAAACGCTCAATTTCCGACGAACCCTACTTCACAGGTAATATTTCTTTGCTTTTGATGTCGATTAAATTTCAATTTTAGTGATTGTAAATGTTAAATTTAAAAATGAAAAACTACTAAATCGTTCAATGAATAGCAGATGGAAAACGAGACATTGAAGAATATGATGGTATGTATTCTGTGCCTTGGGTTGAAACCATTCCAATTAGCATTTCAATTCACTTTCCAAAACCCTATTTTCTGATGATTTATAATTTTGTATTAATTTTTTTGGCACACAGGAAAAAATAGTGGCCGCAAAAAGGACAAAGAGCAGCCCAAAAAATGTTGCCGAACAAAGCCGGCAAGAAAAAGTTCATCAGAAAGATAAACGGTATTTCATTTTAAACTTGTTCTTGATTCGCATATTGGTTCATTTGAACATGTTCATCTTGTTCTTAAATATGTTCATTTTGTATTTAAACATGTTCATTCTAAAATTAAACATGTTCATATCATACTGAAGCATTGTCATATATTAAATAGTTGCTCATTCTCCCTGTTTTGGAAAATTAAATCGAACATGTCATATATAATGTAGACATGCTTATTTTATATTTAAAAAGTCCATTCTAAGATTAAACTTGTTCATATCATACTGTAACATGTTAATGATATTATTTTTGTAGAAAAAGGAAAACTGAAAATGTGAAAGAACAAAAAGAAGGAAAGAAGCCAAAAAGATCCTCTGAAATAAATGAAGAAGGAGGATTCTTAAATAGAGTTTTCCCTCAAGCTTTGTGCAAATTCTTCGATGATTTGGATGACCAACAAAAAGAGGAAGTACTAAGTATTGGTTTTGGTCATTTTCTGCACATAAAGATTAAGCAGCTCTCGCAACCAAATCTGTGTTATTTCTTGGTGAAAAATTACAGGTAATTTGAGGAATTTGATTTTCATTAGAATGTACAACATGTTAATTTCATTCTATTACATATTCACTTGTTTTATTAAACATGTACATCTCAATATAATACAAGTACATCACATTATATCACATGTTAATCTTATTGTTGAACAGGTATGCCAGTAACACTCTGATTCTGCCCAGTAATAGAGAGATGAACATAACTGCAGCAGATGTTGAGTCAGTTTTGGGCCTACCAGGAGGAACTGAAGAGGTTATCGAAGGAGAATGGTATGATAAGGATGAAGAATATAATCAGATCCTTGGGGATTTTAGGGAGACTTTTAGTTTGAAGATAACAGCTGGAGCTCCAACCGCCAAACAATTGGTCCAATATTTGTAGCGCCTCACTTTTATTTGCCGAAAATCAAAATAAATTTTTCAAAATTTAATTCAAACATTAAAGGCGTTACTCATTTATTTCAAAAGCATTTCACATTTACCAATCATCAAACTCCCAAACAGGGATCCCTAAATTTTCATCATAAACCCAAACAGGGTTCCAAACATCATCATGGTACTTAAGGAGCATTCTCCCTAATATTTTTCCAATCTATATCTATATAATGGACGAATCCATTTGGCCAAAAATGGACGAAGTTTTCCCGCTTAAAATTTTTCGGCTAAAATTGAAAATTTTGTTTGTACAATTGATTTTGCCCGTGGCAAATTGATTTTACAATTGATTGGTCCAAATATTTGCAAATTGATTTTCCCATGGAGAAAACATGATTCACTTTATTGAGTGCATCTTTCATGATTCCGAGGTGCGTATATTGTAGAATATTTTTATTCTAGCTCTCTAATGTGCTATTCATATCTATTGATATTATATCCGGCAATATGTAAATTTTTCTTTTCTTTTTTTTTTTATCGTTAATTTAATGTGCTATTCTTTTTTTTTCTTTAATTGATATTATATCCTGCAATATGATTCCGAGAAAACGATCGTTAATTTAATGTACCAAAGAGTTACAATTGATTTTGCCCATGACGGTGGGATACTTGCACTCCTTTGATTTTATCAATGTCAGCAAATTGATTTTACAATTGATTGGTCCAAATATTAGCAAATTGATTTTCCGCTTACCAAATATTATATCCGGCAATATGATTCCGAGGAAACATAAATTTTTGTTTTTTTTTCATTCTTTTTCTGTTTTATTTGATTTGATATGTTTATTGTGTGTGGTTCATAAAAATTGCTATTTTCATACACATTAGTTTCATCATACACACGCACATGAAGAAATTAAATTGTAGATTTTTATTTGATATGTTGCATATGAAATTTAAATACTTTTTATGTGTTCGTAGGGAGATCGGATTCAAGGTACTATAAAACGAAAGGATAGAGATATCAAGATAACTCTTGTGGAAGGAAAAATTTATGCTATAAAAAATTACCACTTGGAGGAGTAGCAAGAGGGCCAATATAAAACAACAACTGCCAACTATCATTTTTGCTTCAACGGACGCACTTTGTGCATTGAAATTGAGGTTGTGAAATTTCCTGATCACACTCTTAGTTTTACACCCTTCTCAGAATTGATTCCCGAAAAAATTTGTGACACTCTTCTCATTGGTAAGTATATTTAATTTTTTCATATATTATTTTACGGTAAATTGATGTTATACTATTAACACTTCTTTTGACTTTGTTTTACCTAATTTGTTGGGATCCCGTGTCCTCCAAGTTTGTTGATGGTAAATCATGCTTTAATCTTAAAAATGAAGCTGAGGTAATGAATATTTTCTTTATATTCTAATAATCAATAATATTTATATATTATTAATGCCAAGTATAATTACTTGTATTCATTTATTAATTATTCATACTATAGGATATAAAGTCACTTTTATTTTCTCGCCGTTTTAGGAACAGGGCCACGATAATCTACCGCCACTAATAGAAGGTGTGGTTGGTAAGACACTTTTGTTTAAGATCTTGGTCAAGCCGAAAGAAGTTAGTGGATACAGTGGATCATACACGGTGAACCGAATCATGAAAAGTTGGTTGAAAAATTCAACCAATCAACCATTAATGTTGAGGTACCATATTCTTATACCAAAAGTGTAATTCTAAAAATTATAGTTATTTTAGTTTATATCAGTAACAAAGATTATTGCTATCATTGTTATTAGGACCCGGATTTTCTGACCATGTTGCAAAAGGAACTAAAAGGAGGCTATGTAAGACGCAAAGTTTATTTTATATTTCTAACGTCGTATTTTATTTATTATCGAAAATAAATATTATTTATTCTTTCTTCCTTTCACCAAGCTTAATATATATTTATTTAATTAATTTTTATAGGAATCAGAAGAGGAAGTTAGCACTCCATTAAAAGAGAAAAAGCTCAAGGAAATCGTCGGTGATAGCTCTGTTAAACGTGCCCTTTTTGAAGAGGGTTTTTCTTCTTCGAAGCCATTGAAACAACAAAAGGTCAATGCGAACAACAGGGGGGTAGATGAGGATTCCACTTCTTCTTTTGAGGATACTGATGATGTGGATGCATAGAATGTCGCTACTATATTATTATTATTATTATCTAAATAAATTACTATTTTGAGTTAGTTGGGTACAATAAATTATCGTGTCAGACTTTGTTTACGTGATTTTATTTAGGGACCACTTTAATAATGTTATTCATGATTATTGGGATGAAATTGTCTGAATGAACTAATTTTGATACAATATCTATTCTACTTTCTTTGTTATATTCTTTTATAAAGTATTTACATTACATTACATGGTTTATATTATGTTATGAAGTATTTACATTACATCACATCACTGCAAAAATTTGGTCATGTGATGAGTTAAGTATGCCTGAAACATGAACTGTGTAATATACAGAGTTTCGTTTGCATTTCATTACGATTACATATTTTTTCAAGTGTAATATTTCGTTGATTTTTCGCATGTCAAACCTCTTTGTTACATGTCCATGTTGTTGTTTTTCTTGCATACTGCTTAATTAATATATATTAATTATTATCATCTTTTAACTCTACTAAATCTTTCACTTAATTTGGAATACAGATTTTTTGTGTGCCAACAAAAAATGTTTTATTTACAATTTACTTAATGTTCATAGGAATGTAAAGATATTTTACGTTTTTTCATGGCAAAAATTTAGGAAAATTTTGATTAATTAAACAACGTGGTTATGAAATCATAGTTTGAAAGATTAAGGTTAAACCAATCAAAACTATATATCAGAGATTCACGAATTTTATTGGTAAGATATCATTCCTGTAATTAAGTAAAAATCATGCCTTTATAAATAACTAAATTTTAGTGTGATGTATATTGATACTTAATTTAAAAAAAAAAATCAGGACATTATGGGATTCTATTCTATATTCTATTACACTAGAAAATCATTCATAAAATGAATTATATTATGTAGATGTATTATTTCTAAATATATGGTTGAGTATATAGTATAAACGATAGAGGGGAATGGATCTCATATCATCTCATCTTTAGAGCCTTTTCCAGAAAACGATCCCCACCGCACCGATCTACAATAAGTTATCGGCGATCTGTTCGCTCAGCAAATCCGCCATCCACGTCAGGCCAGCAGAACCAGTTCAACAAAAACCGCGCACAGCACTTCTCCACCGCCGGAGCGCCTCGGCCAACCTGCGACCTTCCCTTTTCAGGCTGTGCCTCAGGTTCGTCTTTGTCGATTTTTGTAAAATGTAAATCACCCAATTCCAGATTTCATTTTATTTTTTATAGATGTATATTCACAATTGTATATACATATTTTCAATAGAAATATAATTTCTTTTGCATCAACATGAGGTTATTGAACAGAGGTTATTGAACAATCAATCACAAAAATCATGAAGCAGCTAACCGGGCATACAATAATTGGCAAAAAACGTATGAGAGTCGAAAGTTCAAAAACTGGTAATTTTTTTTTTTTTTTGAAATATTTTTTATTTATTTATTTTGATATGTTTATGGTGTATGGTTCACAAAATTGTTTTTTTCTTCATACACATTATGCAATGAATTTATATTATATATTTGTATATTGTATATATGTGTATGTATATTCATGTTTATTATTTAGTTTTTATTTGATTAATTGCAGATGAAAATGATACTTTGAGGCAAACCACGGTTATTACATCAAATCTAGCAAATTTGATGGTCCGGAAACAATTTCCCACTGGGAGACAATGTAACAAACGAGTAATTTCAACTAAACGCGTTGAGATGCCGTTTGCTCGCATGCCTCTGACTGATATAACTAATGGTAAAATTGTTTCTAAATTTAAATATTTTATCTTTATCAATCGTCTATTATTATTGCATATTTACATATAAAATTAAATGCGTAAAATAGTTGGTGTACAAACGATTTAATCTAATATCTATAAGTCAATTAATAAATCATTTTCAAGAGTAGCTACCAGCCATATTTACTACTTATATATTCTTTTCTTTTTATACCATTAATACATTTGTTATTGTCTTACTGTCAGTTTCAAGCAATGCATCCACAGTCAGGCATCATGTGCAGAGTTCCGACACTGCCCACATCAAAACCAATCCAAATATAGTCATTGACCTTAGTGATGATGATTCTGAGGGTATACTTGTTGCCGATAATAGGAATCAAACATCAAGCAATCAAACTATTGTGCGACATCGCAACAATCGGACGACGAATGCGGGTACGCAATCGTTCCTGTTTTTTTATTGTACGTATAATTTTAAATAAATTTACTATTTGCTAATAATGACTTATTTTCTTTTTACGTTTTTCCAGAATATTTGAATTTTGGAGATGCATCATATAAATGTATTTTTTGTGNTTTTGGTATGCTGAGAGAATAGGTAAAAAAAAAAAAAAAGCAATCATCTCCTATCTACACACCGTGTTGCAGTAAGGGCGCTATTGAGTTACCTTCCATAAAAGAACCACCTGAGTGTTTGCGTGACCTGATGCATGGGCGTAATTCTAGCAGCAAACATTTTCAAGAAAATATACGTTCCTATAACAGTATGTTTTCTTTCACATCAATGGGAGGAAAAATTGATAACAGTGTCAATCGTGGATCAAGCCCTCCCGTCTTTTGCCTTCACGGCCAGAACTACCACCTCATGGGTAGTTTGCTTCCCTTGGATGGGCAGGCACCTAAATTTGCACAAATGTATATCTATGACACAGACAATGAAGTTTCTAACAGATTAAACTCTGTCAGGTAGTCTAAACTGTAAGTTTCAATTCTTTAAATTGTCGACTTAGTTAGCTAAACTTTGGTTTGACATTGTTTTTTTTTTTTGTTTTATATATATATTTTTTTATTTTCAGGCGTTCCAATGATGAAAACAGGCTCCATCCAGATATTGTTAATGGATTGAAACATATGTTGGACGTTCATAACGAGCTTGTGAAAACATTCAGAATGGCAAAAGAAAAACTTTAACAACACAACCAAACAGGAGTTAGGGTGCGTTTGATTGGTCGGAGGGGTAGTGATGCTCGGACGTACAACTTGCCAACTAGCTCTGAACTGGCCGTTCTGGTAGTTGGTGATTTTGATGATGCATTAGGTGATCGTGACATATTGGTGGAATCAAAGTCCGGACGTTTACAACGTATCAATGAGTTGAATCCTGCTTACTTGGCTTTGTAATATCCTTTATTACTTCCTTATGGCGAGGATGGGTTTCGAGAAGATATCCCTTTTACGGAACTTAAAAAAGTAACAGAGGATGGTCAAACGACTGTTAGTGTTCGAGAATATTTTGCTTATCGTTTGCATGATAGAGATTCAGATGCACCAACTATTCTGTCAGCTAGAAGATTATTCCAACAGTTCGTTGTTGATGCATGCACTATAGTTGGGTGGAGATCAAGCTTCTAAAACTCAGACAAAAAATGTTGTGTATAAGGAAGTTTTTAATAATATATAAATATAATGAGTTTGACTTGTATTGATTTTTTTTTTCTTTAAATTAATAGCTTCTTAAAATAGGTTGTCTTTGAACTATATGTGATATGTTATCTCCTTTTGATCTACAAATACCTTTAAAATTCATGTGGATTTAGTCACCACTTGTGATTTCCTATGTGATGGTTGATGAGTATTAAAAAGAGTCAATGACAATAAGCAACATACACGTCTGGGTATTATGTTTCAATACATGGAAAACTCTATTTTGTGCTATTAGATGCAGCAGTGATCTTGGTTTAAAAATATTAGTTTGTGAATACCACTGTGACTGGTAATGCCATCAATCTATTTATAATGGAATTTTTAATAATATTAAAATAAGTTTCAAATCTTCAATTGATTTGCAAAAATACAAATTTTTAATTACATAACTTACGAAAATAATTGTTATTGAACCATATTCTCCCGTGCATCGCACGGGTTCAACACTAGTCATCAATAATATCCAAATTCCAATCCTTACATCATAAATTCCATAATATCCCAAGTTCATAAATCATGATATAAGTCATAAAATTCATAAGTGGTACAAATAGCGGAAGCATAACAATAATTAACCGGTCTTATGGACTGACCACCACTCGCTCTACTCCGCTGTCGTGCCTGCCTTGCTTAACCTGAAACGTGAATTTCAGGTGGGGATGAGCACAGTTGGAAAAAGTAGTGCTCACCACTATGCAGTAAACATTATTCACAATAATGAAACAGTGATCAATAATCAATAAGGTATGGTCGCAACATGTATTCGAATCAATTATTTATCCCATCTCCTATCAATCATATCAATCATAAGACTCATGTGCACACCTACGCATAGACTACTGTCGACTATATATCGAAAGCCACGGCTCCAGCCTTCTGGTCTTACAACGAGTGTCCAGCCAGTAGGAGTATAACCACCGTCGACCGAGCACTGTCCTGGTCTCACAACGGGGCACATATCGTCGACCTAGCACCGCCCTGGTCTCATACCTCCGACCGAGCACAGCCCTGGTCTTACAGGCGTAAAGAGAAGATTACCCGAACGGGGTCCGTTCCACAACTATGGGGATAACCGTTCGACGGTCGGTACAGCTCACATCGAAGGCTACATGTTCCACATGCATACTTTGATCATACTGTAATTAAAACAGTAATAACATTTAAGGCATAGCAATTTTTTGAATTAACACCCACAAATTATACGTTTATAACATTTACACCATAACCAATTTTAGAATAACAATCCACAAATTATACATTTATAACATTTACAGCATGGCCAATTTTTAAATAAAACCTACAAATTATACGTTTATAACATTTATAGCATAGCCAATCTATATATATATATAATTGCTAGCAAACCTAATTAATTTTACCTCATAAATTTTACCTATTTAATTTTACCTAGCTGGCACTACCCACATTTTCCCCCCAAAGTCGGTTACAAATGAATTATTTATTTTTCATTAATTAGCTTCATATGTATTGAGTGACGCTTTGGTAAGTTTCAATTGAGAAATTGTATGCTATCTTACTGTATTTTATCCCCTAAAATCTAATTTTTTGTTTCCGTTATAGTTCATTACATGATTTGCATTTGTCGAAAATAGAAAACATTCCAGCAATAAATTTAAATATCAAATTACATATCAAATTAACATCAATCAATAAAAAAAATGTAACATTCCAGTGCATTTTGAATGAATTATGCGTGCAACATAGAAAAAGGAAATAGATTAATAATTATAAAACTAATGATATTACATAAATATAAAATTAAAAAAAATGACAAAGTAAGGATCACTACAGCATGAAGGTCAATACAGCAGTAAATGCCAGATTAATTATGAAATTAAAAAAATGCATATTCAGACGGAATATAAAATCAGATTCAATTTTTGGTGAGCATCAATCACGCAATTTGATGTTTTACTGAAATTTAGATTGTATTAGGTTTGTAATACACACGGTTTAAAGAGTCATGTTGATTTTTTGGGGAGCATCAATCATGGAATTTGAGGTTTAAGTGAAGAATACACAATAATACACTCATTAATCATGAATTTGATTCAATTTAATAATTTTGACTTAATACAATATACACATCAATTTTCCAGCAAAAAAACATGGAATTTAATATTCGTTATTTCCCCTATAAATACAGTGTCATTTTGTTCATTTTGTAAGCACAATCACTTCACAAATTTTCTTTGAAATACTCTCAAATATACTCTCCAATCTCCAAATGGCTACTTATTTTGATAATCTTACTTTTCTTGCAAAGAACAAAAACAAAACAGCCATTTTGAGATTGATTCGTTTTTATCCCAAGAAAAAAGGATCAAGCCTAGAATTTGTTTTCCATGATGTCAAGGTTATTATATTTTTGTCTACATATCTTCGATTTTTCATTTATTTTTTTTATACTTCAGTCCATAAACTTTGATTTTCTGTGTATAGGGCGAACGCATCCATGCCTCCGCACCCGACAGCTTAGCAACAAACTTTGAAATGTGCATAAATGGCGAAGGGAGTACTTTTGCGATAAAGCATTTCAGCGTGGGAGTTGATCGTTACATGTACAAGACTACTCCAAAAAATGACAAAATGGTGTTTGATGAACACACTGAAATTAAGGAGATTTTTTATGAAGACTACCCTCGATTCATGTTCGATTTCAAGGATTTCGGTGACTTATGTGATCCAGCAAGCATTGACTCATCAAGGCTTATTGGTAATGTTAATATAGTATAAATATTTATATAATTACAATTTTTATATTATACTTTTTATAATCGATCATTGCCTATTGAATTGTAGATGTTATTGGTCGAGTTGTTTACTATCAAAGTGTACAAACTGCAATTTCTGCGGGTGTTGAAAAGAGATATATAGATGTTCTTCTTTAAGATGTTAGGTAAGTCTAAATTATTATAATTTAATAATATAGATTTTCATAATATAGATACTGTTCTAATTTTATTTATTTTTTCTATTGTGATTTTTATAGAGGCTGCCAGTTAGTTTGCACGTTATGGGAGGATTATGTTGATGTTTTACTTGAGGCATTCAAGAATCCTTTGACATCCACTGTCAAAATTGTAATCATTCAATGTGCCGATCAAAAGCTATGCATGATGGTATATAGCTAATTAATTATTAATGTTTCAAATACTTTTCTGCACATTTATATTATATAATATTAATGACTTTTTTAGGCTCTGTGAGAATTGCAAACGCCTATAAGGCAACGAAGATGATTTATCAGTGTGATCTACCCGAGATTGTAGAATTCAAAGAGAGGTGATTAATTTTAAGAGATTAAAAACAAATCATTTATTTGATTTATGTTTTTTATCTTATTTTTTTTTTCTATTTTGGTCATTTAAGGTATATCTCCCACAAACGCCCAACCGAATCGTCAATGGAATATGTTAAATCATTCATGTCAAGCTTGTGTGACGATTTGCAGTCCGGTTTGGCTCCAATGAGAAGTCTTGCCGAATTTAATGCTTTAGAAGAGGTAACCACCGTACAAACTTTTTATGATTTTTTTATTAAATATATTTAACACAATGTTATGAATAATAATATTTTTTTGTTGTTCAATTATTTTCAGGATAATGTGTCTTGGATTTATGGCACAATTTTTGAAGTTGACGGTAATTGGTTTTTCAACTCTTGCCCGACGTGTGTTAGAAAGGTCGAAAGAAAAGGTGAAAATTTTTGGTGCAACAATTGCAAAGATGAAATACCCTTTGCAATTCTTAGGTATGCATACATTTATAATAAGTATTTAATTTGAATGACGCTTTTATTATACTACAAATTTTTTGAATTTAATCTACACATTTT